GTGTGATGACGACCGTGTCGTAGACTCTGGTAGTGAACAGAGGAAAGTTTGAACAAGTTGTTCGCATCAAGACGAGGAATTAGTCTTGGAAAAGTATGATGATGACAGTGTCGTAGACTCTACATTTTCTAGTAGAAAAACGGAGGTAAGTTCAAACAAGTTGTTTGAAGAAAAGTTGTAATCACACGACGTTGAAATTTTGGTCAGTTAAGATATTCCAGCCCGTGTATGGGTTAGGGGCATGGAATAAATGAGTCGACCTTCTAGTTTTGAAAATCAGGTTACAACTAACTTGAAAAGCGAAGTTTGTCAGTGACGTCAGAGAAATGCGGCGGAAAACTTCAAATTCCGTTCTAGACAGTATCAGGAGCAGTCAGCAACCTTGTCGGCAACAAACAGGCCGGTTTACTGCTATGTCTATCCGAAAGTGAAAGGAAGGGGTGCAATACGCGCGCACAAAAATGGGTGGAATCTATGCACGATTCCACACAAGCTTCCAACAAACATGGCATCGATGAAAGAGAAAAATAAAAGAATGAACAGTCAATTGAAGTACTGAGGAAGAAATTATAAAGAAATTGTTAAAAAACAATCATTAATTTAATTATGAAATCCATTTGATGATTGTGATACTATATTGATCAATTACAACTGAATAGTGAGTTCACTCATCACTGGTTGCTCCATACTTTCATCCTTGTGCCACGTCTGCTTAGTAAATCGCTAGGGCACTTTGGTGTAGTGTAATGGTTAACAAGCTTGTCATGATAGATAATTATGATTGAGTAGTGAGTTTGATTCTCACTGGTTGCTCCATACTTTTGGCCTTATGCCATATCTAAGCTATGTTTAGTAAATCACTTGGGAACTTTGATGTGGTATAATGGTTAGCAAGATTGTCTCACTATGACTGAGTAGTGAGTCTGATCATCACCGGATGCTCCATACTTTTGGCCTTGTGCCGTATCTAAGCTATGGAATTCATTATAAATGAATTTATTAGGGATTTTCAAATTTCTATTTTCCAATTTTTATACTCCTTGCCTGTCAGTAAGCGCTACCATTTTTTTATGAAGAATTAAACCTTGTGATTGAAATATCTAAATCAGTGGATCCCAAACTTTTTTTTTTTTTTGGCTACCTAAACATATATCTCTAAAATCCTGATTTACTCGTGACATATAATTCATCTTATTCAAAAAGTGAACTCCTATTCATATGAAGGAAGCCTAAAAGGCCATTAACTTGGTCTGAACAAGCTTCCAAAGAACATGGCATTCATGAAAGAGAAAAGTAAAAGAACAAATGGTCAATTGAAGTACTGAGGAAGAAATTATGAAGAAATTATTAAAAATCTAATATATATATATATATATATATATATATACAAATATGTAAAGCTTGGGATGACTCATGCCCTTTGTGCCTCCATAAAAAATTGCACATCATTAAACTTCTAAATAATAATAATCTATTAAATAATAGACACGAGTTAACGGTTTTTGTAGGCATCATCAGATTTTTTGGTTTGAATTATTAGATAAAAAAAAAAAAAAAAAAATTTATATAACTTGTTTAACAAATAGCCCAATCATCAGATTCATAGTAGGAATAATTAACTACAAACATGCATACTACATAACACCCTTCATAATCCATAGCCCAAATAAGTAGTTTAAATACCTTACATATAAGATAACCCTTTATGAAGTCGTCAAAAAACAAACGTTACGAAAGTTGTTTTTTTTTTTATATGCACAATTCCCTTTCATAATAAAATAAAATAAAATAAATAAATAAATCTCCATAGACAAGCAAACTAGACGATGGCCAATACATCTTCCGTTTCATTTTTGACATCCCCACCTTTCCCCGACTTGACACCTTGAAAGTATCTCTATACCGCTACTTAATATAAACACCCTACACTCGCCTACCCAATTTAGAAAATTCAACATAGCTGTTACCATGGGGATTTTGATTTCAATTTTAAAACAAGTAAATTTCAGATATACGTTATTCCAACAAAAATTTCGCTTGAGGATGGAACGGAGCCCATTTTACTTTCAACTCAATTTAATTTAAAGGATTATATTGAAGTTTTCGGCTCTAGTTTTGAAACATGAGACCTCTTATGTAGCAATTAGGAATCATATTTTTAAATAAATAATTATATTTATGCTCTACTTTTGTATCGAGCACTATTTTTTTAAAATAATAACTAAAATACTAAGGGACTTTTTGGATTATTTACCTAACCAGTTCCTTCCTATTTTCTATATATTTTCACATATATATATATATATATATATATATATATAAAAGTGAACATAGAAGTTAACACTTAGAGGCGACAATCTGTTTCATTCTAGACGCAATCGTATATATATATATATATATATATATATATATATATATATATATATATATATACACACACACACACATACACACAGTACATGTAATTACACGTTTTTTTTAACCAGTTTAACCCTTCTAAGCAAGGCAGTAAAATTCAAGGGGTTACTGGATGTAGAAGAATTAGGAACAGAAACATTAATAATGAGCAAAAAAAGAAAAAGATAATGAGGCTCTACACATGTACATACATTTACATAAATATTTTTATGCATGCAGACTGTATATGCACCATATGTATTAACTTACACTCATACACATATAGACTTACTAAAAGATTTACTGTTAATAACTCATTCTTGAATTGCACACCTTAAAAATCAAATTGCCCCCCACCCCGTGCGGTACCACGTGTTTAAAAGGATTGTTTAATGTTGATATCAGTTCAAGACAGACAACAAAAATGGAATATAGATAAATAAACACTTAAAATATAAACTAAATATAAAAGAGTAATATAAATTAATACAGAAGGCTTTTTTAAATAGTTAATTTATTTGTGCATGTATTTTGAATAAGACAAATTAAAGGGAGATAACTTTGATATTTGAATAGAGCATTTTTAAATCTACTGTTGTTCATTGAATACGGTGAGAGTTTTTATGATCAGGTTTTTACACAAAAAATAGAGGTTGCACTATACACAGGCAATCTTTTTTTTTTATTTATTTTGAAGTGGTTAAAAATCATGCATTTTTGGTGAATGATTGCACTATACATAGGTAAATCTTTTCTGGAGGGGTTAAAAATATTAATGCATTTTTGGTGATCCAAGCATGTCCAAATTCCGGCCTGGAGGCCATATTTCACATGGGTCAAGCATAATCACTTCATCCGTTCTGGCCCTCTTTGAAAAAAGCTTGGACATCTCTGCCCTAACCTAATTGGTAGACCTACATTCTCATGACTACTTTGGCTAACCTTAATGGTACAGGAAATCTCCTTCATTCTGCCTTCTGTAGCTTAGATTCTTTCTTTCCGTTGCTACATGAAAATGCTTAAAATCTACAAATCCCTTACATAAATGAAGAATTAATAATGTTTTTTTTTTCTTTCTCCAATTTGCATTCATCTTCGTTTGTGTGTGTTTACATTGCTGAGGTATAACTTTTCCAACAGTTTTTGGGGTAACTTTGTATGAAAGAAAGAATGTAGTCCATTTATTGGCTATGAAATATGTCCAGGATCATGCCCAATATTACACTATTTGACTAGGGTAGGCCTACTAGTATTGCACAGAAACTGGGGTTGCATTACACACAAGCTACATGAAAAAATCAGGTTATTCACAAAAAAGTTCAGGGATCACACTATACATGAAGTATATACAATATGTGTCATTTATATATTTTATTGTTTATTTATGATAATGAATATTGAATAACTTCTCCATAATCATCACTGAATTCTTCATTCATATCATACTTATTATAAAACCCAGGTTGTGTGTGTGTGTGTGTTCGTTTATATATTGGATCGGATTTCCTACATTTTTCAACCGATTTCAACAAAACTTCACAGGACTACGTAAAATTACCTTGCAGTGGTTCTGACAGCACCATAAATTGGAAAAACACAATTGTTTTTGCACAAAATCAATTTGAAAACACAATTAAGAGGCATCGCGAGAATGAAAGTGGGAGAACTCATATCGAGTTATACTTATTATAAAACCCAGGTTGTTTGTGTGTGTGTATGTGTGTGTGTTCATTTATATATGGGATCGGATTTCCTACATTTTTCAACCGATTTCAACAAAACTTCACTTTTTTTTTGGTAGGTAGTGTTTCTTATTGTCTTGCACACTTTTTTCTTTATTTTTACATTCAGAATGCTTTAAAAATTCCATTTACAAGACAATTGTTTATAATAAAATTCTATTCAATCGGTAGACTCATAACGATTGAAAACAATGTTTTTGTTTGAGTTTGGGTTTGACCAATTCGTAAAAAAAAAAAAAAAATAATTAAGACATGCGTGTCCATCATCCTTAAACAATAATCTTTGTCAATTTTATTTTTCAGTCTTTATGATGGTCGATACTTGATCTATCACTTACTGTTACATCCCCGGGCAACGCCGGGCTCTACTGCTAGTAATGTTTAAATGGGTTTGTTTTTTAACTAGTTTTTTTAAAATAATCCTATAATATAACCAAAATATTAAGCAACATTTTTACATGAATGAAAGCTTCAGTGATGACTTTATGGAGAAGAAGATATTCATTATCAAAAATAAACAACAAAATGTTTAAATGATGCATAGTTTTAAAAAGAATTATTATTCAGATATAAAAGTTGTCGCCCTTTAATTTTTTAAATTTTTCTAGGAATCATCACTTTGTGAAATGGTTGACATTTGACAAAGTGATGATTCGATTTAACACTTTCAGTTAAACCAGTTTTCGAGAAAATAACATTCATTGGCATGATTACCTCCCCTGATTTTTTTTAGCCTTCTTTAATTCAAAACTAACCAGATTTACATGTTCATTTTATTTTGTATCCAATTCTGAACCTTAAAAATGAAATTTGTATCCTTTTATATAGTTAAAAAAAATCTCTCTTTAATTTCTGTTTTAGGTGAAAGATATTGGCCATTACTGGGAATTGGGAGGAGGCATTTGGTTGTCGCAGTTAATGGAAATTGCTATAAAACCTGAAACAATTGAGTATGTGAATTACTTTTTACATGTATAGGAATATGATTTGTACATCTTATAAATATTGCTCTTTTGTGTATATAAATTTATTTGGCTCCTATGAAGGTTACCTACAGTGATACCAGCATTTTCCTGTCACTGTCTGAGCTGTAAGGTTTTAAGATAGCGGTTTGTTCAAATTCTCACTTTCCCACTCATATCCCATAATATTTTTTGTAACAAAAAACAAATGTTCTGTTTATTAAGTAAAAATAAAAGACAAAAAGGTAGACATAGGACTGGTTTACACTATAAATAAAAAAAAAGTAGACATAAGTTCAGTTTACAATAGAATCAAAAATGTAAACATAGGTCCGGTTGGCACTGTAAATAAAAAAAGGTAGACATATATCCAGTTTAAACTAGAGTCAAAAAGGTAGACATAGGTCTGGATTACACTAGAGTCAAAAAGGTAGATATAGGTCTTGATTATACTAGAGTCAAAAAGGTAGATATATATCCAGTTTACAATATAGGTCTAAAAGGTCAATAAAAGTTCAGTTTAAACTAGAGACAAAAAGGTAGACATAGGTCTGGATTACACTAGAGTCAAAAAGGTAGACATATGTCCAGTTTACAATATAAGTCTAAAAGGTCAATAAAGGTCCAGTTTAAACTAGAGTCAAAAAGGTAGACATAGTTCTTTTTTACATTAGAGTCAAAAAGGTAGACAGAGGTCCTCTTTACACAAAAAAGGTAGAGCCAAAATGGTAGACATAGATTCGAATTACACTATACCATTTCAAGTTCATTTTGGGACTAAGCACTGGGGACGCCATGTGGCATTCTCCATTATAACAAAAGTGATCTCCCTTGCACTGGCAACGTCAAGTGTTAGTTGTTCTTGTAACAGAGTTGTGATGGGTTATCTCCCTTGCACTAGCGATGCCAAGTGGCAGTTCCCTTTGTAAAAAAGCATTATGACAGATTATTGCCCCAACCTGACCCAACAGTTGTCTTGAAAAGCATTTGTCGCTATTGTTTAGTTGACCGCAATCACGGCCTTAGTTATTGAGATGAATCTGTGGAATATAGCAAGTGCTGGTGTATTCACATATAGCCAACCTTGAATGTCATTACGCCTGGTGCAGTGACATGCAGAATCACATTACCACACTTAAATGTCACGAAGATGGCTAAACTACCATCACTAGTAATTGTAATCTAAAATAAAGGGGGAGAAAAAAAGCAATAGCAATTCAAATACTACCACGTTAAATGAAAGTCTCAAACGAAGTCATGTCTAAGTGGTGTAACAATAGACAAGAAAAACAATGGCAGCTCAAATTCTGCCAGATCAAACAGGATTTAGTAGGAAACGTGAAAAAGATACTCAGTTTCATTCTCAGGATGTCCTGCTAAGAAGTCTCAGACAATGAAATCTCATAGAAAGTCTCAGACCAAGTGAATTGCAATTCACATAAAAGAAAATCAAGGTAGCAATATTCTCATTAACTTGGACAAAGTGATTTGTTAGTAAGGTCTTGTCAGACTACTTTCATATATAAAAAAAAAACACGTGCAAATGAAGTCATTTTAAATATGCAAATTAGGTACCAACATTCTTGCTGTCTCTGACGAATGGAATTACTAGTCAAGTCTTGACAGACTACTTTCCACATATATAATGAAAACTACATGCAAATGAGATCATTTTAACTATGCAAATAAGGTAGCAATACTCGATCTCATGGAAAAATTGAATTGTTAGTCAAGTCTTGTCAGGCTACTTGCATACATAAAATCACATATGCAAATGCAGTCATCTTAAATATGTAAATGAAGTAGCAATACTCTTCTTGTCCTGAACAAATGAAGTAATTAGTCAAGTCTCATCAGACTACTTTAATATATAACGAAAACCATATATGCAAATAAGGTCATTTTAAATATACAAATGAGGTATGTGTATTCTCACTGTTCCAGACAAAGGGAGTTGGTAGTCAAGTCTTGGCAGACAACTTCCATATATCATGAAAACTACATATGCAAATGAGATCATATTTTACAAATATGATTAAAACCAAGGAAAATGAGTGTAGAATCATGCTAGAAGAGATTTTGACTTCTTATCAGACCATCAAGTAAACCAGGTACTAGGTTAACCTGAGATAACCTCCGAAGCACCAAGAGCATAATCATGCAATGTCACAATTGCACATGGTTTTACAAGTGTGAGGATAAGCTGCTATATATATAGGTATTAGTGTGGATAAATCAAATAACTAGATATTAGCAACCATATATACATGCGTTATTCTGCATACACAGGTAAGCGAGTAGATATTTATTCAATTTGATTTTAGATGTAAACAGTGTTCAGTGGGGTTAGACATAGCTAAGAAGTATATATTATTAAATATACATATACCTACATTCGAAGTGCAACTTAAAGTTTCATTGTTCTACCAACTCATCGGGCACAAATTATTACTTTTGATTTTTTTAAAAAAAAATACTGGGTCTCATGTGAGGAATGCTAAATTAAATGCAAATCTAAAGCTCAAATTTAAAATGAACTAAATATAGTACTGGGCTGTAAATACAGAAAGTAGATTGTAGGTAGGTAGTGGGCTATTGTAAAAAAAAAAAAAAGAAAAAAAGCAAACTTAAAGTTTAAAAGAGGAACACCAGGAAACTTGTAAAGTAATAATAGACGTTTTTCCAGGAAACACAGGTTGCATCAGTTGCCGTGGCCAGAAAAGGGTGTAGCTTTGTTGATGAAATTCCATACAATGCACCAGTAGTAAATTGGAATTTCCATACTATACGCCAATAGTAAATTGGAATTTCCATAGTATACGCCAATAGTAAATTGGAATTTCCATAGTATGCGCCAATAGTAAATTGGAATTTCCATACTATGTGCCAATACTAAATTGAAATATCCATACTATGCACCAATAGTAAATTGGAATTTCCATGTCATATGCCAATAGTAAATTGAATTTCCATACTAATTTTATACGAATTTCATACTATGCACCAATAGTAAATTGGAATTTCCATACTATACGCCAATAGTAAATTGGAATTTCCATACTATGCACCAATAGTAAATTGGAATTTCCATACTATACGCCAATAGTAAATTGGAATTTCCATAGTATACGCCAATAGTAAATTGGAATTTCCATAGTATACGCCAATAGTAAATTAGAATTTCCATAGTATGCGCCAATAGTAAATTGGAATTTCCATACTATGTGCCAATACTAAATTGAAATATCCATACTATGCACCAATAGTAAATTGGAATTTCCATGTCATATGCCAATAGTAAATTGGAATTTCCATACTATGCACCAATAGTAAATTGGAATTTCCATACTATACGCCAATAGTAAATTGGAATTTTGTCACCAAAACTACACCCTTTTCTGACTGCGACAACTGATGCAACCTGCATTTGCTGGAAAAAAAGATTCATCCTCAAAAACATTAATGCCCGAAATCTACTTAATAAATGAAATGAAATTAGCTTGTAATTAGAGAAAGAAATCTCTCTTAAAATATTCTAATTCTGGATAAATATATTACCCAAATATCACATGCACTTCCCATATTTTAGGTTTTATATTGATTATCCCCCTTTAATCATTTTAACATCTATTATTACTTAAACGAGTTACCCGGCATTCCTCTTTTAAAATTTAAGCTTGCCTATTTTTCCTTTTTTTTTTTTTTTACAATAGCCCCTACTGGAAAATTTTAATTAATTTTAATTAAGTTTCCAGCATTCTTATATTTTTTTTGTTTGGCGGGAGTAAGGGAGTACAAAAATTGTCCATTGTCTCAAGTGCTTTTGGGCACTTCTCTAGCCATTTTCAATGGGAGTTTGTTTTAACTGTTGTTAATTTCTATTCATGTTTTGACTGTTTAAGATGTGTTTTATTTGTGTGTTCTTTTCAATACTAGTAGAAGCATTTATTCTGAGCCTTCTCATGTTGAATACGACTGGAATTTGCGTGAGTATCTTTCTATTTTGAAAAAAATTCCAGCACTCCATTTCCACTATTAAATAAGGTGAGGCTGATGGTGGGAGTGAGATGTTTAATATACATAGTGTTTACCTCAAAGAGGTGGTCTGATTTGGTTTGGCTTGGTTTATTTAATGCCATATAAATTCTTTATGAGTCAGTTAATACTAGATTTTAGTTTTGTTGGGAGCTTTGGTAAATTGTTTTTACCATTAAAATCTATTGCTGGAAAATTTTTTTTACTATAAAATCTATTGCTGAAATTTTTACTATAAAAACGTATTTTTTTAATTTCATAGTATTTTGACCCCAGTTTTTTTTTGGTGGGGGTTAACTATTTGCCCATAGCTTGGGCCCTGACAGGTGCTACCACCATGAGTCAAGGTGGACCTGGGAACAAAGGCAATTGTGGTTGCAAGCTTCTCAAAATCTTCAATCTCCTGCTGGATCTAGTTTATCGTCATGTCCAGGATGTCAAGGACATGATAATATGATATATATATATATATATCTATATATATAAGCAGTTATCACAAAGAAGAGTTGGAGAGTCACTCAGACATTGCAGAATGCAAGCTCCCTGTTTTGGACAAATCTTTCCAGGGCCACACACAAGGATACCTACTGGCTGGCTGTAACTGATGAAGACTCATGTTATTCATAAGTAGTCAATATGCATTAACATTGGTTTTGTAGGTGTAAGCGTTCTGAAAGCAAAGGAAAATCACTGTAAGTACAGACTCAAATATCAGGGGGCAGAAAGAAATGCTGAAAACCCGATTCGCCGGTACTATCTTAAATCACAATGCGTTTAACCAGTCAGAAAAATAACTCACTCTCTAACAAACGCCGAAACCAAAAATGCCCAAATTTTCTGCCTCCGAATCGAGAACACCAACTGCTTTTATCGGCAGAACCTATTTTTTCATTCACTGACAGCTGGGATAGGATGCTCCGTAATTTGCATATCGAAATACTGTTATAGTGACTCCTGCGACGGACTTGTTTCTTTTTCGTCACTTTTTCCGTCGAGAATACACGCGATCGCTTGTCACTTGGTTTGACGAGGTAAGTCAACGTTTTCTTAAGCTATAAGATTTTTTGCTGACTACTTTTTGGTAATGTTTCTTGACAGATCGCATAAAAACACAAACTTTTTTCCGGGTTACCTGACTATCTCTTTCACTACAGGTTTGCACCCCAATTTTATTCCATAAGCAGGATGATTCCCTCCCCACCCAAACTAAATTGAATTATTCTGCATCATATTTAGAATAAGCTGGAAATTTTATAATTTTGTTTTTAACCTAAAAATGTGTTTCTTTCTTTTTCTTTTCTCCAGCTCTTTGACTCTGGTCATCATGGTCGACTTGTCTGTGCCAAGTGAAATCTGGATAACGATTAAAACCTTACTTGCTTCAGCCCAAAATTGCATCAGTTCAGTTGTTAAACAAATGCGACAACAAAATCCTAAAATCTTGGAAGAGTTGAAGAAATCTGCCTGGGAACGTATTGGTAAAGACCATGAAGTAAGTAATTTTATTTGAGATTCGTGTTAACTATTTTGTTTATTGAAATCCAAAGATTGGGATAATGAAAAGATACCTTCCAAAATCTAAGCAAAGTATTAAGAAACAGGAAAATTTTGTTAGAAACAAAGAAAAGGTTACTGAACTGTTAGGTAATTATGTATGTCAAAAGAACTGTTGGAATTGCTAGGTAACCATGACATATTTAGGAAGGATATTAGAATAATCCAGAACCTATATTGGAAGCAAACCACCTGCATATGGATAGAAAATGAATTCAGTAAATATACAAAAATAGAAAGTAATGTAAGACAAGGATGTGTCGTCTCACTGGACTTATTCAACTGAGAACAGTGAGGTGATTCTGAGAAAATTAGAAGTCCTATCAAGTGACCACAATCTTAGCAACATAAGATATACAGATGACACAATGTTGACAGCAGATGCAGAAAGGAAACAACAAGAATTCATACAGAAGGTAGTAATGGAAAGCAAGAAGAAAGGACTAACCATCAGTTACAAGAAGACAAAATGCATAGTTGTTAGCAAAAGGAACAGCCCAACAGCCTAAGCAAATTGGAGATACCAAAATCAAACAAAATCAATTTAAATATCTGGGAGGGAAAGAGGATGAAAAGTACAACACTGAAAATCCAAGATACATTGAGATAGCAAAAGATGCCTTCCAAAAGCTAAGCAAAGTATTAAGAGACAAAGAAAAGAATACTGAATTGTTAGGTAATATCAGTCTTCCTATATAGCCGTGAATGCAGATGAAGAAGAGACTTGATGCAACAGAAATGTGTTTCTATCAAAGGACACCAAAAATACCATGGACCGAACATGTGAGCAACGACAAAGTTTTAGAGAAAATGGAAACAAAAAGGACACTTATACTCAACACCAGAAAGAGACAGTTGAAATTTCTAGGGTACATAATGAAGAAAGAGGGCTTGGAAAATCTGATAGAGGGCATACTGAATGCAAGATGGACAGAGGGAGACAATGCATAACTTACCTACCTAGCAAGCTTGAGTAAATGGATGACAGAACAAGGGGGAGATAAGTGTTGTAACTCACTCCTAGCGGTTATAATATAACCGAATAATTATCTCGCTTAGACTACTCACCGTGACGTCACTAGAAATTTCCCTCGACCAACTTCTACTGATTGACTTTGAGTTCTTTTTTTAAGGTGTCTTGCTTAGTTCATTTGCGTTACCGAGGATGTCTTATTTACTCCACATATGGCAATTGCAAGAAGACTGACCGCATAGTTGTCAGCAAAAGTGGCAGCCGAACATGCAAATTACATATTGGAGATACCGAAATCAAAAAAGTAGAACAATTTAAATACTTATGAAGTGTTTTAACAGAGGACGGTAAGTGCGACATTGAAATCCGAAGGAATAGCGAAAGATGCCTTAGAAACATTTCGTGAGAAACAGAAAGAAAAGAATACTGAACAGTTATGTAATATCAGTCCTCCTATATGGCAGCGAATGTAGATGAAGAAGAGACATGATGTAACAGAAATATGTTTCCATGGAAGGTCACTGAAAATATGGACCGAATATGTTAGCAACAACAAAGTTTCAGGGATAATGGAAACAAAATGGACACTTATACTCAACACCAGAAAGAGACAGGACAGACTGACGGCAAGAGGGACAGAGGAAAACAATGCATAACTTACCTACCTAGCAAGCTTGAGAAAATGGATGACAGAACAAGGGGGAGATAAGTGTTGTAACTCACTCCTAGCGGTTATAATATAACCGAATAATTATCTCGCTTAGACTACTCGCCGTGACGTCACTAGAAATTTCCCTTGACTGACTTCTACTGACTGACTTTGAGTTCTTTATTTAAGGTGTCTTGCCTAGTTCATTTGTGTTACCGAAGGAATAGCGAAAGATGACTTAGAAACATTTCGCGAGAAACAGAAAGAAAAGAATACTGAACTGTTATGTAATATCAGTCCTCCTATATGGCAGCGAATGTAGATGAAGAAGAGACATGATGTAACAGAAATATGTTTCCATGGAAGGTCACTGAAAATATAGACCGAACATGTTAGCAACAACAAAGTTTTAGGGATAATGGAAACAAAATGGACACTTATACTCAACACCAGAAAGAGACAGTTGAAATTTCTAGGGTACATAATGAAGAAAGAGGACTTGGAAAATCTGATACTCAGAGGGCATACTGAATGCAAGATGGACAGAGGTAGACAATGCATAACTTACCTACCTAGCAAGCTTGAGTATATGGATGACAGAACAAGCATTAGGCTAGATAAGTGTTATAACTCACTCCTAGTAGTTATAATATTATGTCTTGCTTAGACTACCATGATGTCACTAGAAATTTCCCTCAGCTGACTCCAACAGACTTCTACTGACTCACTTTGAATTCTTCATTTAAGGTGTCTTGCCTAGTTCATTTGTTTTACCGGGGTGGGGGGGTCTTATTTACACCACAACAATAACAAAAAGACAAAACTTATTAAGAGTTACAAAGGATAGGAAATTGTGGAGAGCCATGATTGTCAGTGTCTAGATGGGACATGGCACATAGATGATGATGATTTTATTTATTATGTTGAGTCATTAGTAATATCTGCTTTTAGCAACCAATTGTAATGATGAATGTTTTATCCTAACTGTTCCTTAAATATGTCATAGGAAGTGATGAAAAGTGGATTGCATATAACAATGTTTAATGGAGAAGGCAGTGGATTGATAAAAACAAATCTCCATACCATGGCATGATCATTGGGGTAATATTCATTTAGAATTCTTAAATGCAATGAAATGCTAAATGCACATATATATGTGCAGCAGCTGCAATTCAGTGTTCATATTTGAAAAGCAACCTGCACTTGTTGATCGGAAAACTGTTTTCCACCAAGATAATGCAAAACTGCATAAAGCAAGAATAACACAGGAGAAAATAGTGAAACTTGGTTGGTCTGTTCTACTGCCACCCACCATATTCACCTGATTTTACATTAACTGAATATTAAATTTTTGCATTGCTGTAAAAGGTTTTGATGAGAAATACTTTCTCTAATGTAAACCAGATTCAACAGTTCACTAAAAACTTTTCTCACATCAAAACCTGCTGGATTTTATTCAAAAGGTATCGGATAGCTGCCTGATTAATGATAATATGGAATTTTAGATAATAGTGAATGTAAAATTTAATTAAAAAAAAAGAAATTCCAGCAATAAATTTTAATAGAATAAAAATAAAACAATTTCCTGCAATTGATTTTAATAGAAAAAAATTCCAGCAATAGATTTTAATAGAAAAATAAATATCAGCAGTAGATTTTAATACGAAAAAAATAAAACAATTTCCTGCAATAGATTGTAATAGAAAAAAATTCCATCAGTAGATTTTAATACAAAAAAAAAATAAAACAATTTCCTGCAATAGATTTTAATAGAATAAAAATGAAACAATTTCCTGCAATAGATTTTAATAGAATAAAAATGAAACAATTTCCTGCAATAGATTTTAATAGAATAAAAATAAAACAATTTCCAGCAATAGATTTTAAAAGAAAAAAAATTCCAGCAATAGATTTTCATAGAAAAAATGATTACCAAGGTAAATTAAATTTCAGAATAAATGACCCACAAGGAATTGATATCCCATTAAACAAATCAAACCTTAAAGAAGTGGTTATCAAACTCTGGTTAATTATCCAGATTTGGATAAATAATGGCATTTTTTTTCTTTTTAATCATTTCACTCTAAGGCAAGGCAGTAATGCCACTAGGATGCTGTGGGTTACAAAATGTGAAAGATTATTTATTGTTTATTTTTCAACAGCAATATCAGGTTATTTAAAGCCAGAAAATATTTTTAGATTGTAGGAATTTTTTTTTTTTGAGATAATAAGAGTTTAGTGATACAAGTTTTACTAATTAATCCATAGTTGGGAGGAGAAAAGGTGGATTCATATCTTTCCCAAGGGTCTTTGTGCTTAAGTGAATATAATGAACTCAATGGGAATTGGAAGTCGGCTCTGAGCCATCATCCATTAAACCACCTGCATATTCAAGCTTACAGCACCTGGTATTGCTTGCTTAAGATCAGAGAGACAGTTCTGGTCCATGCTTAGCAGGTGATAGACTTGTCTGTCTCGTGGCCCTAATGCCACCCATTCACATTGCCAGCCAGTGTTGGCATGTGTAGATGAACAAGGAGTTGGCAAGAGGAAGACCTGATCTATGGGATCAACTTTGGATTATTGTCTCAAATGTCACCTACTTATTCACCCAGGTGAAGCCTTAGATAAAAAGTCTAAGTATAATATTGGAAACAGGATCTGTGTCCATATTCCTCGATGTAGCATTTGTTTTTCATTCTTTTACCTTGTGAATGTGCAGTAGGTCCTTTCCCAGCACACAAACCTAAGTGAGGAATGGAACACAGCATGGAGAAATCATTGGCCAGTCAGTGATGACCTGGGACAAGGCTCACATTTTATGCTAACATCTGCAGCAGGGTTCGACAATAAGCAACCTGAAAAACAAATACTGAACTCACCTCCGTATGGTCACAGACTTGTGACTTGCACTGTAAAAAAATGAAATGAGTGTTTAGTTGCCAAAAAACATATCCATCCATTCTCATTAGTTTTATTGCTAACTTATTCTTAATTAGCGTTCCAACGTCTAATTGTTAATATGTCATTGTAGGATATGTATAATAAATTATTGAATTGAGTGTAGTGACTTTATTTAATTAAGAAGTAGATACGATCACTCTATTTTCTGTGTTCTGAGTAATCATTGGTGGACACAAGTTTAGGGGAATTAAATGAAGTTTGAGAGCTGCTGTAAGCTAAAATCTGGAAGTGGCAATGGGCCTTATTCTGGTACCCTGGTCCTTGGCATTTGAATTCAGAATTCTCCTTCTCTAAGACTGTTAACTTTACAAGGCTAAAGAGATCAGTCTGCCTTCCTATATTACTGAAAAATTGTGGGGAGAAGACAAACGACTTATGAAAGATGCTACTTGGTTTCAGTGCGAAAATGAAAGAAAGAAAGAAAGATAGGTAATCACTAAAAATTCAGTTACCATAAATAAATTATCGTCCGCCAAATGTTCATAAGATGGGAATTTGGCTTGAAAGAGAGAAAGAAGAGAAGGTAGAAATGTTTAATGTTTCCTGCCTACACCTCATGAATAATGGACTATTCCGTTTTGATTGCATAGAAATGACACACTACTTGGTTTCAGTGAGAAAATGAAAGAAAGAAGGAAAGAAGAGAAGATAAAAGTGTTTAATGGCTGTTTCAGTGAAATGGAAAAAGTTATCAATTTCAAATCTTTTTATTTGTACCCCCTTACTTCTTAAAATGACGACCAGCATTCATATTTATGACTGTTATTGCAATATTTTATTAAAGTTGTTAAGCTCAAATATTTAACGATGCAATAACAGAATTTCTACAGATATTTTATTGTTGCAGAACTCAGAATGAGATTATTCAGTCACTAACTTAAGAATTAAGATTTAATCAGAAAATTGAAATAGGAAAACCGTTTGTTATAGTGGAACACACCTATTCTATAGTTAATAGACTCTCCCACCTATAATAAGTAGGAGTAGGAAGAGTAACGAGGGAGTCACTCAGTGGGTCGGTCAGTCAGTCGATGCCGGATGACCGTTAGTCGGATACTAAAGTATCAGCCACCACAACTAGATTTCTCTGCATCATTACCTATTATATCAAGTTCCTAACGTTTTGTATGTTGAACCTATTTTAGGATCGACTTAGTACAAAATACAAGCCTCCACTGTGAAACCACTCCATGACACCGTTAAACTTTCACAGGTTAAAACTAGTAAATATTAATTATGGGTTCTCAACAAAATGATCATTAATAGTAATGACACTGTAAAATTGTATTTTCTTAAGATTTTATTAAACATAATATGCCTGTTTACAAGTTAGTTTTACGCTCCTTGTTTTTTTTGGCTCCTGAGAAAATATGGAACTAGAGGAAGACGCTCATAAGGAGAAAAAGCCAACAAATATATAAAACTCTTGTATTTAAAGCCACTTTTGAAAATGATGAGAATAGAGCACTTGAAATGGTTGTATAAACATTCATAGACTTCTGTACACCTATGAAGATGTTGACAGTGGACTGAGTAGACTTGTGAGTGATATGATAAAACTTCAAGTATAAAAGGAATACAGGACAAAAACACACATCAGAAGTTCTTCTCTGGGAATCATAAATCAAATTAAATTACCTTAGTTTATCACCTCCAGATTTGAGAAAGTGTCTGTCCACCTGTTTGTTTGTCTTATCTATATCTACAGGATGCGACATAAATGCCGTTAGGAAATTACCAATGAATTCTACCTCTAAATTTTTGGTCATCACTTTGTTATTTATGGTTTGATATTCACCCAGCAACATATACTATTTGTTTTATCAAAGTGTTTTAGTATTCACTGGCATTGCTGCCTGCAACATGAAAATGGGCTCACTTCAAATGAGATTTTTCAAGCTTGGAATCAATAGAATGTTTATCAAAAGGACAATCAGTCACTACAATGAGACTTCCTTTATCTAAGATTGACCAAGACCAGGATTTCCTCACACCTCCTGAATACCAAAACTCGTTAAACATCTGTGTGAAAAAATCAGGCATCATCCAAGAAGGCCAATGCGAAAATTGGCTAAGGAGTCTGAAACATTGGAAAGAAGCATGTGAAAGGTTACGTTGAGATGATCTCAAAATGTCACCCTACAAGATAATGAAGAGACAGCTTCTTTCAGCAGCCACGATGAAAAAGATGCTTCAAAAAAGTAAACAGTTGTTGGAACGAATTTGTGATGGCACGCTGCAAAATATCATCTTTACTGATGAGAAACTGTTTACTGTGCCTCAGAACCCAGCATCAGTTATGGTTTGGGCAACTATTTCAGAAAGTGGAAAGTCTTAAGTTTTCATAGCTCAAGGAGTAAAAATCAACAAGGAAATGTACATAGAGGATATCTTGGTAGGTGTACTCATGCTGTGGTGCAATGCAACTTATGATGATGACATTGGACAATTCCACAAGACGGAACGATGAGTCATATTGCTCATGTAACACAGCAATAGTGCAGAGACAATTGTACTGGCTTCATCACCAAGGATGAATGGCCTCTCTCATTCACTAGATATCAACACTCTTGACTATTGTTTGTGGGCAGTTCATGAGAGTGAGGCTTGTTCTACTCTGAATCACAATATTGAAGCTCTGAAAACAAAATTGAAGAGAGTATTGGATAAATTAGCCATGGAAACTGTGCATGTCTCCATCAATGACTTTTTCTGAAAAACCTCGACATGTGGTGAAGGCCAAAGTGAACCATGTTGAATGAGATTTTCTGGTGTTATTTAGTAGATTAATACTTACTTTGTGTTAAACGTGTGCACTGATATAATACATTTTCAGAAATTAGAAGCTTTTACTTTTGTAACAGTACATATGCTGCACCCTGCATATTAAAGCTGTTTGGTATTGTTGGATTTTAAATTATCTGGCCACTCTGTGAAGTGTTTTTCTCTAAAACTGGTTACTTTACAAGGCTAAAGAGATCAGTGTGTCATGCTATATTAATAAAAATCTTGTACAAAGAAGAGATGGGTTCATGCCTTTCTCCATGGCATTCCTGATTAGTAAATGCAGCTATAACTGCTTAAGCCTGATAAGAAAGTGGAAAAATTTGTCTACTGGTCATTTGGTACAAACAGAGAGCTAGGAACTTTTGCACTCACCTAATCTAGAATTTTAATCTGGTGAATGAACTGGATATAGCTGCACATTGACGTTGTATGTGAATACTATCCTGATCCAGTCTACCATGTAGAAATATTCTGGGTTGACTAATTTTTTTTCTGTGGCTTTTGGCCTTGTGTTTGCAAGCATGAAAATATCTTGAAATCTCGAACTGAACCCTTTATTTCATCCACCAGGGTAGATTATTGTTCTAGTTCCACATGTCATACCTCTTCTGAATATCTCAGTTATTTCCCTTTAACTCAATTCTCCAAGTTTTGGTTCACCACTGCTGTGGCCTGGTACTGAACTCACAACTCTTTGGGTCTAGTCACTGGATCTAACCAACGCCTTTATCCACTGGGCCATGTTTCCTTGAGGACATCTGTGTATGAAGAGAAATAACTGAGACATCTGGAAGGGGCATGGCATGTGGAACTAGAACAATCTACCCCGGTGGATGAAATAAAGGGTTTCGGCTTGAAATTCCAATCACCTGAAGAAGGCCAGAGTGTACAACGGCCGAAACATTGTGAATGTGGCAATGAGAATGAGGATAACAGTTTGAGTAATGTAAATAATGCAAGTAATACCTCATCTCAGAGATATAGACAGATTTTGAAATTTGTTTCAATAAAATGCTGGTCCATGATGTATTATTTAACAAATTTTTTTTGTATCTTTCGATCAGGACAGAGACACCGTGGAACCCTTTCTTGTGCCTCTCATCATCATTGGTGGGAAATACGACAAATTTCAGGTGGGTATTAAGGAGACATGGTGGAGTAATGAATAATGGCTCAGATTGAGGAATTGGAGAGCTGAATTTAAATTTCAGTGGAGTCGCATGCTAATACTCTTGGGAATAACCAAAACAGAGGTTGGAAATGAAATGGTAATCTTTATAGCATCAACAAAATACAATACTCGCCAGCGGTGTGAAAAAGTAAACTCCTGCTAGTGTTGGACTACTTAAACAGCACATTACCCCCACTTACAATAGTGTCCAATGTATTCATGAGGATTGGGACACACCCCTTAGTGTACATAGGTATGGTATATAACAATAGCAAAGATATTACTCTTCTCTAGGGCCCACTCTACATACCTGGTCATCTTGGTAGCCTTGTACCTGTGAATTGTGGCCCTTGATATAGCCCTGTTGGTACTCTTTAGAATAGGCTGACTTCAACATCCCTCCTCCCCGCCCCGAAGTATAGTAAGACCTCCCACAAACAGAACAAGCCAACTTTTGGGTGGTTACTTGAAGATTCAAATGTAAACCAGACATAATTCTACCCATCTACTTATTCATTGTGATTTTTGTCCCACTAAGATTTATATTCATCATCAAACAGACCAACAAGGATTGATGTTTTTTTTATGCTAGTGTTAACTCAAAATAAGGCTCAAGAGCCACTCAAGGTAGAGCGTTACTCAGTGGTGTTGTATGAACACAAGAAAAGGCAAGAAGTGAGGTCATGTAGGAAAGACAATAATTAACCGTAGACTTGAAGAAGTCAAGATTATAGTGATCAGGAAAACATCCTTCTGGGAGTCTGTTCCATAAAACAGACGTCCTTAGGAAGACAGTCTCCAAGTGGAACTTCCTTCTCACTAATGCTATATGAAGGGAATGAAGAGGATTCATCATTGCATATAAGCCATGGCAGTCCTAGATGCAAAGGTCAGGGCTTGTCAAACCAAGGAATGTAGAACACTTGCAATGGAAATAGCACAGGAGTAATGAGAGGTTTGTGCCTTTTTGTCTGTGGGAAAGGGGTTGTAAGTTTGAAAATAATTCATCACCCACAAATCCATGTTGACATTTGAACTCTATCAAGACAGGTGCATGAGGACTGGCCAGCTTCATATCATACTTTGTATCTGGTGTGATCTGGTTTTTGTTAAGATACAGCAGGAGGAGTCAGAGAATTACTGGAGACGTACAATGAACCAAACACTACTTTCCAGCATTTTTAGCAATAGATCGGATATATGAGTTCCACTTGAGCTCTTGTGAGAGCTTGAGACCCAGCAGACGTTCTGGTCACATTTCGTCTGTCGGACCAGCTTGGAAAATAATGCCTCTCCCACAAAGACACCTAAATCACTTTTGAACTCTATTGAGACTGGGAAATTGAAGACTAGGTAGCTCCAGCCGAGATATGGCGGCAATACTTCATTTTTGGTATGATCTGGCTCTTGTAAAGATATAGTGTAGCAGTAGCAGTCAGATAATTATTGAAGACACACAAGGAACTGGCCATTTTCCCAGCATCTTTAGCAATAGACCGGATATATGAGTTCCACTTGAAGTCAGGGGAGAGCTTGAGTTCCACTAGACCAGGGGTTGTCAAACTTTTTCGACCATAGGCCCCGTTTTGTTTTGAAGCTTACAAATCACACTGATGTTGGCAATTAAAATGTTAACTAAAATTTTTGAAACATTAAAAAAACTTGGATCAGGTTCAAAATTTTCCTCCCAATAAAATAATTTAATAGTAGCAAACAATGCTCAATGTAGCATTAAATGTCTCATCAAAATAAATTAAAAGCTACTTTGACAGATGTAACTAAGGCTTTTGATTCTGTTGATCGTCAAGTTCAGGGTCTTTCTTTCATCTGCACCGAAGAATACAACATACAAGTACCCTAACTAAAATTTAGCTAAGCATCATTTGCACACTGACCCCTCAGTCGACATCTTGACTATTGTCAACCCCCGACCTCTAGAGGATTGTTTGGACCCCGTTGGATGACACTTGCACAAGATATTCAGGGAATAGAGCCTCCTTGATAAAATACTGATCCATCATGATAGGTGAAACTTAAATGTCTGCTTGATGGTGGTGGTCGAATATTGCCAGTTTGATTCTATTGATTGTCATGTCCAGAGTCTTTCTTTCATCTGCACCGAAGAATACAACATGTATGTTTTGTAATGCCCATTTGTAGGAGAGACTTTGGTCTGATCTGGCTCTTGTAAATATTGCATCATACCAATCAGGCCAAATGACCCTCATAATCCTTGACTCTATTTTACGGGTAGAGGTTGAAAAAAAGGGATTGTTATCTGAAAATCAACATTGGAACAATTCAAAAAGAGCAAACAATGCTCAATGTAGCATTAAATAAGTCTCATCAAAATAAGTTAAAAGCTACTTTGATAGATGTAACTAAAGCTTCAGATTCTGATGATCGTCAAGTTCAGGGTCTTTCATTCATCCGCACCGAAGAATACAAAATACAAGTACTAAAATTTAGCTAAGCATCATTCGCACACTGACCCCTCATTCGACATCTTGGCTATCATCAACCCCCTGGAACTACCTCTAAAGGATCGTTTGGACCTCGTTTGTGATGCTTGAACAAGACATTTAGGGCAAAGAGCCTCTTTGAAGGAAGACTGATCCGTCATGATAGGTGAAAGTTAAATGTCTGCTTGGTGGTGGTGGAATATTACCAGTTTGATTTTGGCCATACTGGATTTTACAAGCCAGTCTTTCCACAGGTTTTTAAATTAACCAAATAACTCTCGTTAGGTTATTTAATGTCAAATTTAGTATGGGGCACCCAGTGAGAATCAAACTCCTTTTTTCGGCTGTAATGGTCAGTTAGACTAGACCTGATAATGATTACCCCATGCCAAGGGGCCTATTTAGTTGGGCTAGTTGTTTTTATGACATGTCAACCTTTGTTGGGTTATTTAATGTCAAATTTTGTATGGGGCACCCAGTGAGGATCAAACTCCTTACTCAGCTGTAATGGTCAACTGGACTAACCTTGTTAACCATTACTGAAGTGCACGTTAATATTTCAGAGGTTTTTGTACTCTACATTTTTTTTTTGTTTTTGTGCTTTTATTCTGTTGAAGCCGTCTTGTCTATTTTTTAAATTTGTCCTTTTTCTTCGTTTTTTTCTTTCTGTTCGTTATTTGATTTTTTTTTCTTTCATTTTGTCTTTCTATCATTTGTTTTTTTTGTTTTTTTATTCTATTTATTTTAGGTATGTGCAAAAGTTGTCTTTTTGGAAAATATTTGCAGACTGAATGCCGTATATGTTTGTGCATAAGTCGATTTCACGTACAGTGCAACCCCTGAATTTTTTTGGCTTGATTACCTGTATATAGTGCAACCAGTCACAGAAAATTCATGTTTTTTAACCTTTTCAAAAAATTACCCATGTATAATGTGATTCTCTATTTTTGATCCTAAAATCTCAAGAATAGTGATTCTTGTGATGGTTAAAAATCATTTTTTTATTTACCCTATTTACATTTGGATGATTGTTTTTATCTTTGTTGTTCTTATCACTAGGCTAGTGGATTAAAGTGTTAGTTTGTGAATTTGGTGACATAATAACTGTGAGTTCAATCCCTGTGCTGGGCAGTGTGTACTTGGACTCAGTAGAAATAGGTTAAGCAATAACTGAGCAATACTAAGAATAAGAACTAGATGAGATATCCCTAGACATGGACAGTGGAATGAGAACGGTCTACTCCTGTAGATTAAAGAAAGGGTTCAGTTCAGATTTCCCTCTCGGTCACCTGAACGGATATGTTCGAGTGAGTGGAGTTACTCCCCGTGATAGGAAGATGTTATAAATGAAACAGAACATAGATAAAGGGAGAAAGGTGTTGCAGGATGAATTAACAATTAAAATAAACCTGATGAAGGTTGAAGAGCACAATGGTCAAAACGTTGTGATAACAACAAAGATGAGGATAATATTTCAAATGTAAATAGTGTAAATAATAACTCCTCGTCCCAGAAATTCAGAGGAAAGGAAGTCAGGTGATAATAACAACAAAAATGAAGACAATAGCCCAAATGTAAGGAGTATAAATAACTCCTCATCCCAGAAATTCAGCCATATTTTTCCAGAAACTTTTGCACATACATAATACAGTGTGCATAAGGTATTTTTGGACAGCTTTATGTTTATAGAAAAACAAATAATAGCAGATAATAACTTTATTATTGAAAAATGTTATGTTATCCTTTTTATAACTTTATTCAATAAAGCCACTTTCAGCTTCAATAACTGCTTCTCTGTGAAATCAAAATTGTCTACATGTTTGAATTACCATATTTTCTAGCTTACAACACACTGCAGCTTGGAAAATGATATTAGATTTGGTTTGTTTTGTTTTACGGCATATCAACACCTCTATGGGTCATTTAATGCTGACAACTTTTTTTTTTTTCTGGTAACATTTTTGTTTTGTCAAAGATCTATTTCTTTTAATATTTTTTCCTCAAAAATGTATAGCTGGTAATATTTTTTCCTCAAAAATGTATAGCTGGTAATATTATTTTTTCAAAAACATATAGCTGGTAGTATTTTTCCCAAAATGTATTGCTGGTAATATTTTTCTCTTTCCTCAAAAATTCATTTCTAGTAATAATTTTTTACAAAGTATTTCTGGTATTAAAACCTATTTTTACACTTTTATAATGCCTTTTACCTCAGTTTCTGGGTTAACTATTTGCCCATAGCTGGACCCTAACAGGTGCTACCACCCCTAGTCAGAGTTGACCTGGGAACACCAGCAATTAAGAGGTGGTTCCACGCTCCTCAAAGCCTCCTGATCAGAGGCCTTGCTGTTGGACGTAGTTTATCGTTTTACCCTTGGATGCAGATATAGTTTATCGTCATACCCAGGATGCCCCCATTGGGGAGGGGTCTTACCCCTCTACAGAGGTGCAGTCTGCATATTCTACAGCCCCAACTGACAGGGCAGCCTAATATTAGAAAGAAATTTCTAAGGAAAAAAAAAGTCATTCTCATACAACAATGCATTCACCATGCGTCCCTCACATACTGGTGTCAAATATTCTTTTCATTAATTACTTGTCCGATTTTGTTTGTATGGCAATGGCATACTAGTCAAGAGCAGAAAGGCTCCTGCTGCTGCTAGGAAACAGAGCATATTTAAGCTTGTGGCTCGGCTCCAGGAAGGTTTATAGTTTTGGAAATACTTGTAACAGCAAAGTGCTGAGGTTACCTCATATAAAAGGCTGAATTAGATAGCTAACATTAGTGTAATGACTCAAAATACAAATCCACGTCCCTGTCAGTCAAACCAATTAGGTGACTGTCCAAGATTACTTGAGCCTGGGTGTGCCTTACATTTGTCTTGGGAAGCGCACATGTATTTTTCAGGGTATTTTTTTATGAAAATAAGTGCGTTTTGTAAGCTGGAAAATATGGTAAATGGCGTTGGTTCATATTGAAAATTACTCTGAATATAGCAGCTTTCAAAGAATCTTTGTTATAACGGGGGTGTAATTGACTTCACTCTCTCAACAATGCTCTACACATAGTAGTCCAATGGATTGAGAGTTGGGAAGTTAGGAGGCCAAATATTAGGGATGAGATAATTATGAAAATTTTCAGTTGTCCATTCCTGCATTCTTTGAGCCTTGTGTGGTGGGGCAGAGTTTTTCTGAAACACATAAGACCTTCCATTTCGTACACTGTCTATCCAGGGCTTAACCACTGCTTCCAGCAGCAGATTTAATTCTAAAACCTGGAAATAAGTGCAGAGACATCACATGTTCTTCATTGATGATCCCCCCAAAAAAAAAAAAACCATGACAGTTGCAGGAAATGTTGTGTGAATAACTGTTGGCACCATCTCTTTATTTTTCCTGTAAAAATTCTGATCTTGGTCAAAGTTTTTCATGCCTGAGAAAAAAAGAAACAAATCACACCATCTTCAAGTTTGTTTAAGAGCCTTTTAAATCAGATTAAGCAATTTTCTTTTGGTTTTTCTAACATAAATTGACTTTTCCCCATCACATGACTTACATCTGATGTCTTCATGTACAACATTTCTGATAGTTCCTTCTGACAGATGGAAATCTTTCGCAAGTGCCTTCATGGAATTTCTGGGATTGTAATCAATGATCTGCTGAATTTGCTGGATAAATTCAAGTGTGCTGAGGATAACAGAACATTTGGATTGCTTTTTACAATCTCATACTGGTGATACATTGCCATCTTCAGTCTAACTCTTTACAAACTTTGTAGATAAAAGAGTTTGCGACTTTTAAAAAGATATATCTAAATCGCTAAAGCCACAATTACAGCATGCCTTTTCATTTCTTGATTAAGCTGAGTGTTTGCCATATTATTTTATGAAAAAAATAAATGATATAAAGTTTAGTAAAATACAGTAATAACCAAAAAAAAGATATGACCTCAAAATACCCTACCCACCCTGTTTTGTTCATCTTTTTCCTTCACTTTTTCTGTTTGCTTTGTCTAACATTTAAAATTGTAGTTTTAAAATATTCCTTTGATGGCTATTTTTTTTGCATAAAAAATAATCAATAATTTTGTTTAAAATTTTAATTTTAAACAATTTCTTTAGAATACTAAAATTATTTCAGATGGTTACTTTGTTGGACAAATTTATTTGTATATTTATTTATGTTACTTACGTTACATTCCTGTATATATTTTGAACAAAAACAAATTTCTTTAATAAAAACAATCTAAAATATTTTGAGGTATTTTTCATTTCCTTTTCAAATTTGATTATTATTTGACCTTTAATAATCTCCTACACTCCAATTATAATTTTGTTTTCATTTTAAACCTAGTATTTTATTTATTTTGATCGACAGAATTTTGATCCTGAGCAGAGAAAAATAATTTGCAAGACATTAAGGTTTTTAGCCCATTATTATGGAGGCACTTTACAGGTAAGCTTTTGTAAAACCTGAACGGAACTCAAAAGATGGGTTTTGTTTTTTTTGTCTGTTTTTTTTTCAAATTAACCCTTTTTACCTGGTTTTGTTTCATTATCTTTGTTGTATTTTTGCAACATTTCAGCCAGTCCATTCTCATGCCTTCTTCAGATAAATGTGTCTAGTTCAGTATCTTGTTATTCATCTTACTCTGCTTTTAATTCTTTTTATGCAGAAGAATGCCACATCCTGGGGTTGATAGGTCAACATAGTAGCAGAAACATCCGTTTATTGAATGGAAGGAGTTGTAGAATGATTGTCATTTGTGGAAAATTTTCCCAAGTAGAAATTGCTTTGTTGAATAATAATTGAAATTGTTTTCGTATTATTAAGAAAAACTTGCTCTGGTTGTGTGTTTGTTTCTGACAGATATCTCAATGTTTTCTGTTTTGAAGTTTTTTGTATGTTTCAAAATAAAATTTATTAAAAAGTAATTGTCATAAATATTCTTGTCGATTATAGACACCCTGTTCAAATTCCCACAGAGGCTAATCAATTTTTTTAACATACAACGTGTGTTAGCACGTGCGATACCCTGTCTTCATCAGCCACCGACCAGGGGTGATATCACGGTTTCCGTGGCTATGGCGGGACCACCACCCCTGGCGCCACCAGCAGCGTTTGCCACCAGGCAGGGTATGAAGATAAGCTAACTAATTGTTCCTTTAAGTAAAATCTATCTGCAATGAAAGTTTCTTGAACACGTTTGCCGTTATTGACGCGCTCGTAAAAGTTGTTATAGACAACCACACAAATATCTCACTTGCACATGTTATTTATTTATAAACTGTATAGCTTGCATAATGGTTATAGAATGTGAAAACAACCTGAGAATTAAAAAGCAACAAAAATAAGATGAAATACAATCTGAGGAATTGGAAAGCTGAGTTTAAATTCCAGTCAAGTTCATTACATGCTAATACCCTTGGGAAAAGTATGACTCCAATTGTTCTCCCCCCAGCTATGGGTAAATAGTAGGACAGACTGAATTCTGTAGCCTTGGGGTGGCAACTAGTTTAGGAGAAGGAAAATTGAATTCAAAACTGTACGTAGCCCTGGCAAAGCACATACTATGAAGGTAAGGAAAGGATTGTTTTCATTGACTTGATGATCCCAACTTTGGTCAATTCCTTTTTTTAAAAAAAAAAGAAATTATGGTAGGGCTAAAAAGTTTTCAGCCTACCCCACTTCTGAGAATTTGACCAAATGTCTAAACATTAGAGTTCTTTTTGGAAGGGTTTCTTGGTCTGGCTAAGCAATTTTCAACAGCCACCCACAATAATGATGTTTCTTAATCCTAAAACCTACAGCTGAAGATTTTGTATTCCTTGAAGAGAAAAGAAATGTTTTTGCTTTGAAATTAAAATTACTTATAATTCTTTTTATTGCTTCCAGTTTTTCAGCACTAAAGATAAATCCCTTGGCAAAAGAGTGGAGGCCTTAAAGAATTACCATTTATTTGGAATTCCTTTGCCGTGAGTCTTTGAAATGTATTTCTTTGAAATCATAATTGAAGAGAGGTAAAACATGAAATTTTGAAGCTAGTGACGATCTTAAATCTGGCTGTAATCACTGAAAAGGCATGTGCAGTAAAACTCCCATCTGTGCAGCCATGTATTTCCATGACAATAAGCAATGAAAGAGAATGAAATTCAACTGTAGGCTGAACTCAAACTAATTAATACTTGTTCGGAACCACTATGCTAGCAATTTATGAAAACATAATTTTGTTGAAACAGAAAAACAAAATAGCAACTGCCTTTTGAATGTTTACTTGTCTGAAAGTTTTACTATTGGGGATCTCAAATGTTTACAGTCATCACTTAGACTCAGTGATGGGATTCAAGAGGTTCGCATGAACCTTTTATTAAATGAAACAATTTTGCAGACCCCATTCTTAAATTGCCAATGGCCTTTATATCCAGAGACAAAAAACATAGTAGGGTAAAAAAAAGATTAGCATCTTACTACAGGTTCCTTAAAAGCTTAAGTCTCACAACAGGATCCTTAAAAGCTTAATTCTCACAACTGGATCCTTAAAAGCATAAGTCTCACAATTGGTTCCTTAAAAGCTTAAGTCTCACAATTGGTTCCTTAAAAGCTTAAGTCTCACAATTGGTTCCTTAAAAGCTTAAGTCTCACAATTGGTTCCTTAAAAGCTTAAGGCTCACAACTGGATCCTTTAAAGCTTAAGTCTCACAATTGGTTCCTTAAAAGCTTAAGTCTCACAATTTGTTCCTTGAAAGTGAGTTTTCGCACTGGTTTCTTAAAAAATTGAAACTCACCACTGGTTACAAGTATGCTGTCCATATCAAGGACATTTCAATCACTGTGATCTGGATGATTTGCTCATTAACCAGCACACAGATTGGTATCATCCTTTAGTTCTTTACTAAAGTTAGCAGAGTCCATTAGCTTATTATGACAATATTAGCTTTTGATAAAATAATTTAATCGATCAAGCACTGTAGGGAGTAAAGAGCGAATTTGTAAACAGACACTATTACTGCTGATAATGCAAGACTCTCCAAGCCGATTGAGTTGTCTAAGTCACTGGTGTGTTTATGAAATATAAATACGCAAAAATTTGCCTTTCTCTCTGTTGGGTATCGATGACCTCGGGGTTAAAATCTCCAACTGATACCAAATCGGTCGAGTTTTGGTCCCAGCCTGAAGCATTCAGATGTCTAACCACACTGATGAGCTGTGATACAGTGAAGCAGTCTGTCTATGGATGGCTACATATATATATATATATATATATAATATTGCATATTGAGTTTTATCATTGTGGAAAAAATTTATGTATATATATATATATATATATATATATATAGGCTGCAACCTTTCTTTTAAACATCTTTTCTTAAATATGACAGACGAGGAAAATTTAATTAATTTTTTAGTTTTTCCAGTGTTCTTATAATTTTCCAGAGTGTGCAAAAATTATGAAATTATAATATTATATATATATATATATATATATTTATACAGTCTGTTTCACGCCTAAACGAATCATTAGGCAATGTGCATTGTATTTTGGCTCAACTATTTTTCTTTAAAAATGTATTTTTATACATTTATAGTGTATGGGGGTTAACCATTTGCTCATAGCTGAGATCCTAACAGGTGTTACCACTCTGTTTCAGGGTGGAACTGGGGACAAAAGCAGTTTAGAGGTAGTCCCACACCCCTCAAAACCTCCAATCTCCCAATCAGAGGCCTTTCTGTCGGATGTAGTTTATAGTCATACACATCTAATTTAATTTTTTCATCATTTGATAATCAGTGTTAACCAATGATAAAATCATAGAACAGCTTGCTTGTTTTTATTTGTTAATATCTTTGATTATGTCGACTTATGGAATGCAATGTACCTTGTACAATGATTTGACTGATTTGGTTGCATTTAGATAAGATTTAATACAGAAGATACTCTTCTTTCTGTGATTACCATCCTTGTCACTAATTTTTACAACACCCATAAGCACCCACAGAACACTGGTTGGTGACTGTTTAGAATTCATATGTTTCCTAGTGCCTAGACTATGCCTTGCTCATTTACAAACACAGATAGGCACTGACTATTTAAGCATTCCATATAATATCCCAAGCAAATCTACCAATAGAAGACATTAATCCTGCTTTCCCTCCCGAGGTGAATGTACTGATTTTGCAGGTGAGGAGCTATGCTGATGACGTAGGTATTCATAGTTGGGATAAGAATAACCTTGAACAGAAAATCAACATTCTTTACAAAGTGTTCCAAGAAACTGAACTCAAAATGATCGCAACACACATCTGCACATGCACATATGCAGAATAAAAAGGTGCATGACCACACAAACACAGAGAATACAGAAGAAAACTTACACCAAGTTGTGTATAAGAGGAAAAAATAGAAGAATTATAAGCAGTAAATTGCAGATATCCCTTGAAGATTGGACAGACAGGTCCACCTATGAAACTCTGGAGTTGGGATGCTGAAGGTAACATCAATTAGCTAAGTGACAAATTTTACTAACATTAATTCTGTTGACAAAATGTGCAGAAATTCTTTCTAAATTGTTCAGCCATCACCAGTTTTCAACAGTTGCCTTATGTCTTTCTGAACTTACTGCTTTTTTTACTGGCACCTTCTATAAATATGCAGTCTATCCATGCCTTCCCATTCAAACTCAGTCTTATTATGCCTCTGAGCTCTATACCTCATAAAAATTCACGAGGTAGAATTAGCAAATGCCAAACACGTCAAATACGTATGGATCAGTTATAACAGATTTAGTATAGGAGGAAAGGAAATTGAACACAGAATAAGTTGTGAAACCAGCTTTAATCTAGGTATGCTTTAGATCATTCAGCCATGAAAGACTTCACAGCAAGGCAAGATTTAGTTGCCTATCTTAAGCAATGCACACCTCTCATTAGGACCTTTCAAATATATATATATATATATATATATATATATATATATATGTTATTATTTTAGAAATGTCAAGGTTTGCATCTCCAGTCAGAACAGGGTTCAGTATTTGAGAAATAAAACTGACTCTCTAGGAAGGTTGGATTATACAGGCCCCCTGACCCCCAAATAACAAAGATGAGTGTATTAGTCTGAATAATCCTGTAAGATAAGTTTTTCTTTCAAGGTTTTTTTGGTGCTTGAAATATTTTTTAATAATAATTTTCTCTTTTGTATTTTAGCAAATTGCATCAAGTGGACCATAATAAACCGTTATCAATCCCAGTTGGGATGGACTCCCTAAAGATCATTGGTCAGTATAATTCTTTTGAAGCATGATCATTTGTTTTTTTTAGCACGTAGAGTCCCCCGTTGTGTCAATTTAGTGATAGCCAATAATGTATCCAAACATCATATTAAACTAATTACAATGACATCAAAAATTATTATGAAAATGATTAAAACCAGAAAATGACAAGAGTGACAGGCCATATCATGTTGAAACACTGGTTCCTGTACAAAGTTAAGCTATGTCAAGTCTGGTCAGTACCTAATTAGATGACTGCTTCGGAATACCAGGTGCTGTAAGCTTGGATGTGTAGGTGGGGTAATAGCTCAAAATTGTTAATTGGAAAACTGAGTTCCACTTCCAGTTGTGTTTGTTATATTGACTTACATGCAAATACACTTGGGAAAGGTATGAATCCACCACTTCTCCCCCAACATATGGGTTAATTAGTAGGACTTGTATCAGAATAGCATTGTTATCTCCAAAAGATTCTTACAATCTAAAAATACTTTCTGGCTTTAAGTAACCTGCAGAAGGTTGATAAGCCATAAAAAAAAACAAATCAATCAATTTTGCTTTAGTCATCATTACAAAATGATATAAACATTTGTCCATAAGCTGAGCTATTTTTTTTTATTGCATATTCATTTGTTGTGATCAGTTTAGACTCTTAAGATACCAATAATTTCCACATATGTCTGGTTTTTTTAATGCTATATCTCTTAAGGCAGTTGTGACTCTTCACAGCTTCCCTCTTTTTACTATATGGGAATTGCTATGGCTTCTTGAGAAAGATAGTGGAGTAGTTTCCCATTGCCTTCTTCACAATTTGAATTCAGAGTAGTCCTTTTCCAAGACTGGCTGCCAGTCAAGACTAAAGAACACAGTCCAACCTGCTATTTAACCCATAATTGGATGTTTATGGTAACTTATCTAGAATTCATTACTTGTTGTCTTCAAAGACAAAAACTTTATAAGTCTACCATTTGTCCATACTTTGGATACTGCTACCACATATGGTCTATGTATTTAGAGATTTTTGATAAAATACAAAGAAGAATCTGCAATGTTATTGGTCCTGACCTGACATCTTGGTTTCAGTTACTTTCCCATCACTGTACCTTTTCTATCAATATTTTCATAGTAACTGTTCGGATACCTAGACTTTACAAACCTAGGTAGCTGGTACCTGGATGTTACGAATTTAAGTGCAGTACTAGATTGGCAGCAAGGCGTAATGAATATTGGCTCAGAATGAGAAATCTGAGAGCTGAGTTTGTGAATCAATCTCTCATCCCCCAGCTATGGGTTGAATAGCAGGACAGACTGGGTTCTATAGCCTTGGTTGGCTACCAGTCTACTGCAGAAAGAAATGACAACCTACTGCAAGGAAATCTGCTTAGTTAGTCATGGATTGAAAGAGATGATTGCCCAAGCTTGTATCACGTATGACACTTAACTGACTAAGTTGGCAGCAAAGTCTCCTCATTTTATACTTGAAATCGCTAGATGTAATCATAAATTCTAAGCTAGCATTTTTTGCCTGTAGAACTCTTTTGCAGCTTCTTGCTTTCCATTCAAGTTTGATCTTCAAAAAGTTGAATGCAATATTAATCATTATCTATTGTCTTTTTAATTTCTCTTCTTTTATTGTTCTTATTCTGTAATAGTATTACTTTTCTCATATTCTCTCAAAACTAAGCTAACAGTTTGTTTTCTCTCACTTCTTGCTTGCAGAACTCTCTTCCGGCTCCATGCTTTCCAGCCAAATTTAATCTTCAAAGGATTAAATGCAATGTCAATCATTATCTACTGTCTTTTTGATTACTCTTCTATTGTTCTCGCTCCTTAATAATGTTTCTCTTTTTTCTTATCCTTTTACACTTGTGTCTTAGTGGCTTTACTGCCTTGCTTGGAGTGAAATGATTAAAGTGTTAAAATAGCTAGATGTAGCTGTAAGTTCTAAGATAACAGTTTCTTCTCTTGCACTTCTCACAGGTGGAACTCTCTTCTGGCTTCTTGCTTCCCAGTCAACTTCAATCTTCAAAGCCAAAAGATTGCTTAGATAATTTTTCCTAAATTTTAAAGTTTATTGGATAGTTAAAAAAATGATCTAAAAAAGGTGTTTATGTTGTTATCGTCAAGTCATTTTTATAGTTATGTGCTCTCTTTAATTAAAAAATGCCAAACATTAAGCTATGAATATAATCTCTTAACACTTCATAAAAACATCCACCTCCATGCTAAAATGCATTTTTGCAATATTTTAAACTAAAAGTTACTAAGCCATAAGTTCTATGCTAACAGTTTCTTTTCTGGCACTTGTGGAACTCCCTTCCAGCTCCATGCTTTTCAGCCAACTTTGACCTTTGAATTTAAAAATTTCATTTTTAAATTTAAATTTAAAAATTTAAATGTAGTGTCAATCGTTATCTTCTGTCTTCTTAATTCCTTTTTATTTATTGTTCTCACCCCTTAATAATATTTTTTTTCTTTTTCTCATATTCTCTGACACTCAGTAGGACAGACTGGATCCTATAGCCTTGTGTCTTAGTAGCTTTATTGCCTTGAGTGAAATGATTAAAAAAAACAAAAAAAGACAGTTATCTTCAATGATGATGTTTCATGTTTACTTTAAACCTGTCTGACAAACATATACTATTCTGCAGATAAAAATATGATTTAAATTTTCATCTTTATTTGATATTGAACAGGTGACCTCAAAGTAGATGAACGACAAATAAAAGCATTACAGAACAAGTAAGTCATAAACTTGGTTATCCTTCAAATAATTCGACACTAATTCAATTAACTGGTCTGCTCATTAAAAAAAAGGATGGAGGCAGGGGTTGAAATAATTTTTGTTGACTAGTATACATTTGACATTCCTTTACTCATGATACAAGTCAGAATAAAAAAAAAAATATTGACGTTTTATCATTTTACAAGTGGGGGTCCTGTTTATAATATAAATGCAGTGTCAAATCGATCCCTGACTTCTTAAAGAGTACTTTGTTTTATTTATAAACTGTGTAGACTTATTGCCATATCACGTTGAAACACTGATTCCCATACTATCAACCAAGTTAATACAAGTAAAAGGTTTGTTAATTAGCTGATTGATGTTACCATCAGCATCCTGACTTCAGAGTTTTCGTATAATCACTCAATCTACTTGTTAGGGGTATCAGCAATTGACTGCATATAATTCTCGATTTTTCATTTTTTTATATACTTTTCATTTATGCAATTTCTTTTTTTTCATAGTGTTTGTATGCACCAATCTGCACTTATATGCGTACATGTAGAATGTCATGGTAGTTTGCCCTTTTGTCATTTTTTTTTGCCTTTTTGTCATTTTTTTCACTTTACTCCTAATTTTTTTTTTATCTTTTCTCACTTTCTTTCTCTTTTCTTTCAATTGTAGCCAATTTGACTTCTGGTTTTCCAGACATATACTGTTAAAGAACAAACAGAAAACATTTATAAAAGTAACATTTTATTAAAGCTTCAATTTTATATCATTCGAAAGAGAAATCAATTTACTTTCATATAAATTCAATTTGTAAGACTTGATTTTCAACAGTTTTGGTGATAATTGCACTAACATCACATACTTCAATCAGGATTCCAGGGATTTAACGATTCAAATCTTTCCAGGGCTGATAATTAAAAGACTAACAAGGACAATGCTATTTCAAGTTTAATCTGGCTTCTTGCTTTTCAGTTTTGATTTTCAAAAATTTAAAAGCAACATCAATCGTTATCTACCTTCTTCGTGATTACTATTCTATTATTCTAACTCCTTAATAATGTTTTTCTTTTTTCTTATTCTTTTACGCTCTGTAACACCTTGTGTCTTAGTGACTCTACTGCCTTGCATGGGGGCGGGGGGATATGATAAAAAAAAAACAATACTATACCTATTATTCTGTTTGTTTGTATTTACAGAATTTACTGCTGCTATATCCCCAGGCTCTTTTGAGCTGGAAACAATTAAGTTTTCTGAACAAAGAATCTATAATATTAAGTGAGAAAAAAAAATGAAAAAAGTAAGAGAGAGGAGGAGGGAGAAAAGAAAAGAGGGTGTGAAGGAGGTGAGGTAGGAGTGAGAAAGCCAGAAGAAATGAAAAGAAATATGGTGGATATGAGGCAAGCAAACTAGTTGAAAATGAAAAGAAAAAAGGGTGTTAACTAGAGGGAAATGAAAAGAGGGTGTGAAGGAGGTAAGAAAGCTAGAGGAAATAAAAAGAAAAGAGGGTGTGAAGTAGGTGAGGTAGGAGGCAAGAAAGCTAGAGGAAAATGGAAAGAAAAGAGTGTGTGAAGGAGGTAAGAAAGCTAGAGGAAATAAAAAGAAAAGAGGGTGTGAAGTAGGTGAGGTTGGAGGCAAGAAAGCTAGAGGAAAATGGAAAGAAAAGAGGGTGTGAAGGAGGTAAGAAAGCTAGAGGAAAATGGAAAGAAAAGAGGGTGTGAAGGAGGTGTGGTAGGAGATGAGAAAGTGGAAAATGAAAGCAGAGTGTAAACTAGAGGGAAATGAAAAGAGGGTGTGTGAAGGAGGTAAGAAAGCTAGAGGAAATGAAATGAAAAGAAAAGAGGGTGTGAGGTAGGTGAGTTTGGTCAGTACCTAGATGAGTGAGTGCTTGGGAATACCAAGTGCTCTAAGTTTGGCTGTGCAGGTGGTGTAGTGGACAATGGCTCACAATTGTTAATCAAAGATCTGAGTTCCAATTCCACTTGCATTTGTTATATTCACTTATGTGCAAATACGCTTGGGAAAGGTATAAATCCACCTCTTTTCCACAAAATATGGGTTAATGAGTAAGAATATTATCACTAAACTATTATTATCTCAAAAAAAAATTGTTAGAATCTAAAAATACTTTCTGACTTTAAGTAAGCTGCAAAGGGTTGATAAGGCATAAAAAAATGAAGGAATCAATCAAACATTAGGTAAGCTTTAGTAAAGTTAATTTTTAGCATTAAAATTGTCGAGAGGAGCAGATGAGAAGTAGGTGGGAAACTGGTTCTAGTAAATTTTCCCTACATACATGCGCAACACAGAATGGGATGTGTAGCTTAAACAACAATCAAATACTGACTTGCTACATTGGCATGTCTTATAGATTTATTCACCTTCTCTAGAATATAAATGTACTAGCCGGTCGCTTGCAAGTGCAGTCACTTTGCTCTTGCAAGTGCATTTGCTGCACTCATGCATTAGTGAACACAAGGTGCTCAACCAGCTACTTCACTTCATTTTCACTTTGCTCATGCAATAGTTAGTGCAGGGCACTCAACAGTACTCACCTCAGTCTGTGTACACTGGTCGCCATTTCTTTTCTTGTCCACCGTGGCATCCTTCTAATTAAGTACCCAATCATAAACTTTCCAAGAGCCATCCAAAAAGAGTGGTAAAAAATATTCCATATTTCATAATATAGGTTTTAACTATTATGATTCTCTAACTCTTCAAATGTTGAATGTATAACTAATTCTAATTTCTATTTTCCCATCTTTACACTATATTAATTTTATCTTATATATTGTCCCCTGTTTTGTTACCCATAAAATAAAAATAATTGTTTGTATGAAAAATAAGGATCTACATACATCAAATCGTCTTTAAATTAAGTGACAGCAGAAGAATTATCGTTAAACTTTTAAAAGGTAAGCTTAAACATTAAATGCAGCGGTCAGTATTGATTTCTTCTGTACTTTATTGATGCCTCCTCCTCCTCCCTAGTTATTGTGATGATGGCCAAACCAAGAGTCCTCCACAGGAGCTAGCTTAAATGCCGCCCAATAGGGAAATAAGAGTTACTCCCCTTGAACCATGAAAACAACGATAATGGCTAGTATAATATATATATATATATATATATATATATATATATATATAACGTTGCATAATCTGGCAACCCTGAATCTGAGCTCAGCAAAAATCGTTCCCTATGCCTAACTTTTCTAGGGCCTTTGAATGAACTATGAATCATTGAAATTGGAGCAGTGGGTGCGAAGGGGTTGCTTGGACACATACACGCACAAACGCACATACACTGTACTTTATATAAATGTAGAGAAACTGTCATGGTCATAAAGTAGCAGGATCTGTTTATATATTGATTATAATATAGAACTGATCTCCCACTTTATATCCACATTATGATTTCTTGTTTATCAAATTCTGATTAGGTTTGAATACACCTCTTCTCCCCCAGCTATGGGTTAATTAGTAAATGTATCACTAAACCATTATTATGTCAAAAAAAAAATTCTTACAATCTAAAAATATTATCTGGCTTTAACTAACCCCCAAGGGTTGATAAGCTGTAAAAAAATGAATCAATCAAATACTAATGAGCTACACTGACATGTCTTTTAGATTTGTTTGAATTTTCTAGAATATAACTGTCGTGGTCACAAAGTGAGGGGTCTGTTTATGTATTGATTATAATATAGAATTGATCCCCCACTTTATATCCACATTATAATTTCTTGTTTATCATATTCTGATTAGGCTATGGGTTAATTAGTAAGACTTGTATCACTAAATCATTATTATTTAAAAAAAAAAAATTCTTACAGTCAAAAAAATATTTTCTGGCTTTAATAAATAACCTGAGAAGGGTTGATAAGCCGTAAAAAAACACATCAGTTAATCAAAACACAAACTGTGCATACTACTAATGATTTCCTTTTCTCTATTCTTTACGGTATGCACCTATCAGTGACATAAGCACAGTTTCAAATATGATAATTGTAAATAAAAACAAAGTGCAGTTAACTTCTTAAGAAGTCAGGGAAACGTTTGGTACTGTATTTATATTACAAACAGTACCCCCACTTGTAAAAATGACAGAAAAATAATCAGTATTTTTTTATTCTGACAAATGTCTTTTGTAAAGGAAGAACTAATGAATGTTGATCTACAGAAATTGTAAAAAAGAAACAAATTCCTCCCTTTTTGTTGTTTTCCTTTTTTTTACAAGTGGACCAGTCAACTTAAGTAATGCCAGTAATTGATTAAGACCATTTTTTTATTCTATTTGCTGAATTTCATTTTTTTTCATCTGTAATTACCATATTTGACAGCATATAAAGTGTGCACTTTTTTTACTAAAAATACCTTTTAAAATTCCTCTGCATCTATGCCATATGTACGTTTAAAATTTGCGATAGTCGGCCGACATTAGTAACCTGGCATCTCCTATTAGCTTCGACTTAAACATGAAAGAGCAATGGAACACGTGGATGGCAATGCCTGATCACGACCATACACTTACAGGAAGAATAAAAAGACTCAGCATTGCACAAGTCTGCGAATGGGTGAAGCAAACTTGGGATAATATTAGACAAGAAATTGTGAAATCTTTTAAAAATTGTGGCATTAGCAATACTCTTAATGGAATAGAAGATGAATAAAATTTTAATGTTAATTGTACTGTTTTACTCAATTGTAATAATTGTTTGATTTTTATTTTGTTTTCTTACCTTTGGATATGATAAAGGTTTTATAGGCCATGTTCCTTTTCCATATTATTTTTTGATTAATTGTAATCATACCTTGTTTAACCAAAATAATGCCTTATAAATATAGCCTAGGCTGTACCATTTACTAATAATTTTACTAATTTTACTAACTACTAATTTTTAAGGGATCATTTTGGTATAAAGTTGTTTTCTATTTCTGCAATGTTATTAGTCTTGACTTGGCATCCCAGCTTCAATCACTTTCCCACCGCTGTAATGTAGCTTCCCTG